TTGAGTATGGTTTTGTTATAATTTTATTAGAAGGCCATCGAGCCCTCTGTTGGTTGCTTAAAATAAGCTTTATTACTTAATTCTTTGAAATTCTCATTTAATGTGGGAGACTGAAACACCACATTGCACACTTAATTTATGGAAGACGATTTAATTGATGGAGCTCTAAAATAGAGCTAAGAGACTCCTGTGGTAGAGACTAATATTTCACTGGCCATTGATTTCAATTTTTTACACGGTGAGAGAAGCCCACATTAAAATACAAACTCTCAGCGTCACTGTAAAAGTGGAATGCGGCAGCATAATTAATGTATCGAACATTTACCTGCGGTCGAGGTAGCTATAACAAGGCGGTGGGTTTCCCTCTTGGTAAGTTTCTCTTCTGTGTTAGGAGTTTCTGTAAAGGCCAGTAGCAAGCGTTTTTGTTTAGCAAGGTTGGAACATCAAAGATGTCTTGGAAATGTGACGAGACGCTCACAATATGAAACGGAAAAACATTGCCATGCGACTGGTTTTGTAGTATATTAAGGAGAGCACTCTATATAGATACTGTTCTATGTTGCAGGATAATTCATTTGGTGCCTGAATTTTTTTAACTTAATTAGCTGTTATAATCTATTCTGTGGGGAATAAGATAATGCCGCTTATTCCGTGTTTCTACACAGTACTGTAATGGAATGAGGTAATTATTTTCGTGCTTAACAATTCAAGAATTTTAAAAGTGATCTTTTAGTACGTGTATTTTGCAAGCTGTCTGCATGATATTCTGACAAGTATCCTCGTAGTAGACCTTTACTTGACCACTTCTATTTATCACAAGTGCAAAGGAATTTACTATGTAGAAACGTAAAGACAGCCGGTGAAGATGTGTGATGTGTTTTATGACTGCACGAGTGATGTGTACTGTGCGTTGTCTTGATTACCACAAATCTCTGAAAAACAAGCCCCTGACGCCCAAAAAACCCCACAAACCCAAGCGGTATTTGTACAGACTCTGTTACGATGGACACAGTTTGCGGAAGCGGTGTATGATTTTTGTGTCGCTTAACGTCTATTTAAAAAGATCCGCACCAGCCTTTTAAAGTCGAATATCGTAATATAAAGGCCCTGAGGAGATAAATTACTGGGATCAGCTGTGGCTCTGACCATGGTTTGCGTATTTAGACCAGTGTTTTCAGACTTGGAGTTGCTCGTTAGCCGTGCAAAAGGTGTATGCCTCCTAAAATCAGGCCTGACTATTAGCCCCTGTTGACTTCAGCAGTAGTCGTGGATGTTCTGCACCAAAGAAAATCACGAGACTTTTATTTAAGCATCTAAATGAGAATTTAGATGGTTGACTTCAGGTACAAACGTGAAAATTTTGGCCTTAACCTCTCTGTTCTTCGGTTAATGCATCTGTAGAGTTTGATAATAGCGTTGACCTACCTCACAGGCAAGATGTGAGGCTTTATTTATTAAAGTTTTTAAGCAATTGGAGATCCTTGAAGAGGAGGTGCTATAGAAGTGAAAGTATTATTATAAATGATACTGTAGTAAGAATAAATATATGTAAATTAATGGACATAAACAGCAGCAATGTTTTCTAAGAAAAATAAATATATGTACCTGTGTACATCATATGCACCAATATATGATTTACCTGTTCGTGCTTCTACCGCAAACGCAGCATGCGCATCAGCATTTCTGTTCAATCAGGTCAGCTCCGGTACCTGGCAGTTCAGATGGGCCCCGCCGGCAGTCACTGCTGCCGACTCCGTCTCGGGCAGACGTGCCGAAGGTGGCTCTGGGTGCTCGTGAAGCTCCGCTGGAGCTCGCTGCGTAGCTCTCGCTTTGCTCCCGTGGGCTCTCTGGCTGCGGCGAGCCGCTTGGGTGTCGCAGAAGCGCTGCCGGCACTGTCTGGGCAAGCTGGCTAGCTCGCGCCAACTCGGGGTATGTTCACAGGAGCCGCAGTCGCAAGGGAAGCTGTTAGGCAGCTGTGCCCTGAAATACCGATTACAGTGAGAAATGTGTACTCCCATCTTTTTCTTTTCTTTCCACATCATAGTTTTATTCTCGCCTTTTCTCTGTAAACAGTATTTGCCATTTTGACTAAACCAATGGTTTCGGCTGGGATCCAGGGACTACTTCTAAAGGATCTGCGAAAGGTAAGTAGGACAAGCAAATCCATCATTGGAAGCTTAAATTTGTTACGTGAGGGTCAACTTTAAGACGTTTAGAGGTTGGCACATTACAAAAAGTTGAAGATCACAGGCCCAAACAGGGTTTTCAGGCTTATTCACAATCGAACGGTCATATTCCATAGCAAGTTCCTACCCATATATTTGAAAATACGTCGGAGCCAAATTAAAATTGACAGTCTGGCCGTATGCCACATCCTTCTCTCTGCTTATGCAAATTCTGGGAAACTCCGCTGGTTTCGGGAGCATTAGTCTGGATCCACATCACAGTACCAGTCAGAAAAAATCATGCATTGTATACATCTCTGGCTACTGTAGAATCCCGGTATTATATTTGTATTTTGGGTTCCTTTGAGTGTACAGATTGCTTGTCCAAAGCCAAACTTTGCTCAAGTTTCAGTAAAAAAAGGCGAAGTAAAAAACAAAAAAGAAAATCTGTGTGGCTGGTGGTGTTTCATTACTGTAACTATTTCAGTCAGAACACTTGTGTTTTCTAGTTGTTCAAAACCACGCAGAGATACGCAGCTGAAGGGATATGCATCAGTTACGCTATCCACACATCTTACAGAAAAAAGACGGTGCTTTGGGGCGCTCTGGGGGAAAGCAGAGCAGGCGGGATGTACCACAACACCGTGGGGAAAACCATGGGAAATACAAGCTGCTGGCTTTTTTTTTCCCCCCCCTTGCACTCGTTCGGTTTGTTGTGTTGGGTTGGTTTTTCTTTTGCGGTGTGACATTTCCCTGCGTTACGCGGTCTGGGGCGCAAGCGGCTACAGCCAAGAAATGGAAGCACCGGGAAAGTAAACAAAGGCCTGAAGCTTTCTCGGGAATTTTTTGACCTCTGCGAGATCACAAGCTGCGTGAACTCCGAAAGATCTGTAGTTTCCAGTCGTGCCTAAAGATCTTAAATTTTGTGTGGCGGTAATCCCCTATTCCTCTACCCGAGTGGAGCATACTGGACTCCAGGCTGGAAGAGGAGATTAAACGTTAAGTTCGTGATTCGGAATAGGCTGCCAGGCATGGGTGGCATTAGTCCAAGGGCGGGAGAATAAAGCAGACAGGAGGGCAGAACCCAGCTTACCAACACAGAACCGGGGCGGGTAGTCACGAACCGATACCTGTTCTCTTCCGCCTTACCTGGGAGAGGCGACCAACACCTCTGCTTGAGGAAGGGTCTCCCCGGAGCTACCTGCAGCCGCGGGATAAAGCTCAGCGTATGCCGTCTGTGGGGACCCTCTGCCGTTTGCGACGTACGGGGATGCGTTAGGACGATCGCCACCGCGTTACGACTTTACTTCTTTCCCCTTGCCCTTCTTAATAACTTGCGCTCAAGAATTCCGTTTTTTAAAGCACCGCTAGGTTTTTAACGCATACCGTGTGCCTTCAGTGCCACAGTGTAGAAATGTTTATTTCTGTGCTCTCCTTTGAAAGTGTCTCTGGTAAATACTGCGGCTGCAGGGAAGAAATTCTGTTCCTTTCTGCATCGCTAGCCCACAAGTAGTAAGTACTCATACAGTGTTAATTTACGTAACAGCAGGTATTCATCTATTGAAAGGCAGGTTTGACAGAAAAACACTTGAGTATTTCATCAGTGCATGGAAGGAATAAAAACCTCAATTATCTAGTTGGATTGGTTAAAGGGCCTGCATAGGGAGATATTTTTGCATTCCTTTATCATGCAAAAAGCAACACAGCAGTTGCTCTCATATTTACGATCATTCGAAAAGTACCGCAAAGCCAAATAATGAGAAAGTAGCTAACAGCAGTGGGTGCCCAGTCGTACATCCCTGCATGCTAGGTCAATGACCAAAAGTGACCGGGAGTTTGGGTCCGATCTGTTTTTGTCTGGGTTGAGACAGCGTTTTGGAAGCACATTTTGAAAATCGGGCTCAATAATAGCATTGTGGGCTGAGAACCCAAAAGACCATCTTACCCTGAAAAGCGAGTTTCTGTCTGCATTTATACGTTAGAGGACAGAAAAGAATAAACGTCCGTTATTTTTTTCCTTGCACTGTAAAAAAACATTATTAAAATATGGTGGATTACAGGTGCACACGGGAGAGGTGCTGTAGATGAGGCGCTGAGGGACATGGTTTAGTGGGCCTGGGGGTGTTGGGTCGACGGTTGGACTCGATGATCTTAGAGGTCTCTTCCAACCTGAACGATTCTATGATTCTATGATTCTTGCCTTTATGCTCTTCTTTTGTAGCCCAAATTACTGTTCATGGGGATTCCGATTCGCTTTCAAGGCTTACGTCCCAAAGTAGCTTGTTGTGTGTAACACTTTGTATAAAATGTCTTTTGCGAACGATGGAAGAGTGAGTTGCCTCCACGCGGGCAGTTACCACAGACTGAAGAATACAGGTGCAGTTGCAGGGTTAATGTGGAAAATACAGGTGTCGTCGCAGGGTTAATGTGGATTTTCGGTTGAAGTCCTACTTCAGTGAGCAATTTCACTGGCCTGGGTGAACTGTTACAACTGGCCAAGGCTGCTGGTTGCGCAAACAGACAAAATCCCGCTGAATGGGAATTTTGGGTGCGTGTGAACTACAAGCTTCTCTGGAAAATGGTGTGCGACCATGTAATCAGACTTGGTGCCGAAACCCTTTACTTAGGGGAATAGCTGTGAATCCCGAGGGATTCACCCCCTGTGAGATATGTTTATGGACACGATATCGAGTGCCTAATATTCACTGGAAATGAAAGCGTAGGAGGATTGTTTGCCTAACTTTGTCAGAGCTCTCGGTGTGCCCTTAAATCCTCCTGGGCTCAACGGTCCTTTTCCCCTTGTTACGGACGTTTTGTGGATATCGTGTCCCCGTCTGTTCTGCTGCTCTAGAGAATATGCTCTGTCTCACTGGAAGTTAGTTAGTTTTGTTAGCGCATTATATTGCCAAAGAAATCTCCTATCTTTGTTTGTATTAACCTCTGCTCATTTAAACCACATCAGGGGCGGCTCCCTGTCAGGGAGGATCGTTCCCTTCACGTTACAAACGGGCGATGGGTCTTCCATGGCTTCGATTTTCAACGTTTCTGAAGGGTTTTTAAATTGGGTGGCTCCCTTTTATTAAAGCCCCGCGACTTATCCTGCTTCTACATTTTATCCGGGTGCATGTAGAAATGGAGATATCGGGAAGAAATGCCCAAACTGCATTAACAAAATGCAGTTTCCATCACGGGGGATACGTATATTCATTCTAGATGCATTCACCTACGTTGTTCTTCGATCGATGCAGCAGAAAATACTTTTGCTTGTGTTATGGGGAAGGAGCAATACTGGCCCTCCGTTCGGCGTGTATCTCCTCTTACTAAAAACACCCAGGACTGAAACTGGCCTCGCAGCTCTGGTTCTGAGCTGGTCTCAGGCGTACTTCTCACACGGCATGCAGGCGGTGAGGTTTTGGATCAAGGTGACTGTAAATCTCTTACAAATAGCTTCAGCTGAGAAATATCTCAGCTATTTTAAGGAGATTTTTACAGTAAACAAATATCGTGAGGTTGATTTGTCTCATTGGATTATGAAATTTGGGAGGAATAGCTTGAAAGATTTTTACTTCTTTTTTTTTTAATTATTATTTTTTATCCCCCAAGCCTACTCCCGATTTGTCAAGGAATCTAAGTAGTAACACTTCGGCTCATTACAGGTCCAGATGTAAGCGACGTTTCTCCATCCTACCTCTAGGTTGTTTAACCGTTTAGCAAAATCTAACAAATCCATTTTGGTTATTATTTTGTAATCTTTTGATTAATAGCGAATTGCAATAACTGCATTTGGCTTTGGGTTTGTTTTTTTTTTAATGACTGAAATTTGGGAAATACGCTTGAGATACAATTCAAAATTTGCTTTGCTTTAAAATGGGAAGAATGAGACTTTTTATGAACTTAGAAAATGTGGTGATGCACAATAATTCCAGTTTGATTTCCACACTGTAAACAAGGACTCGTTAGTCAGACGGTTAATATTAAGGGACAGAAAAGTATTCTTCTAGGAAAAAACCTGTAACTATTGCAAGCTTTGAAGTAAATTAAATGAAACGGTAAAAATGAAATAGAAGCCACACTTCTAGTCAGGTAGCAAATACTTCTCTAGCAAATTATTCTCTCTGAGAATAATTTAGATCTCCCTGTATTATTTAAGTATCAAAATCGTACGGGAAAGAGGTGACGTTCTAGTTGTTCTGGAAGTTCTGCTTTCTTTCTGCAGGAGAGGGAAGAGTCTCTGTTTGGTAGCGATCAGTAGAAGTATCCTTCCAGCTATTCATTGGGTCATGCCGCCCC